TCCAGGCTGTCAAGTACATAGGGTACAAAGAGGTGGGAAAATGAGTAGAAGCCAGGAAAGGTGCTAATGAGATGGCAATCTTAATAGTCTTTATCAGTATCATGGCAACTGTACATGTAACTGGACAGAAACATTTCTACATATATTCCCTGATGTTCAAAGTCATTCCCAGTCATCTTGGTGAGAATTGCTGCTCCGGCAAGAGTTGTACTTAGGGTTTTTTGTTTGAGAGAGAGAGAGAGAGGAAAGAAAAAAGAAAGAAAGAAGAAAGAAAAAAGAAAGAAAGAAGAAAGGAAAATGAAAGAAAGAAAAAAGAAAGTGTAACACGGGTGGGGGTTTCTCTCTACTTTCTTCTCCACACCCGTCCGTAATCTTTATTCACTTACTCAAACCAAGGGACCCCAGAGCTATACTTGAGCCGACCCCACGCCACGTGGTCTTAAACCGTTTGACCGGCTTAAGATTCTACAGTACAACCCTTATGACGTGAAAATAGACTTCTAGCAAAACTCTAGAATCGCTCTGCGCTGCCACCACCAGACCATTACCACTGAGCAATAACCGAGGTCTGAATCGATCATGCTAATCAATAAACCTTGGGGCTTGATCCCCCCTAGTAATATATGGGAGGGATGAATTTTACGTTAAAGTGCTGAATTATTAAAATCAAAGGGATAATGAATTCTTACTTGGTGTTAGAATCTCCGGCCCAACTCAACTCGGCCTCGTGGGCACCACGTGGTCCGGGACTTGTAAATAATATTACATAAAATGGAAATTAATAAAAAGACAATTTACTACCTAAATAGTTTATTCAAAACTAAATAAAATCTGAAATCAAAGCACTTCCTGGCTGAACACTTCCTGGCTTAAAAAAAAGGCAATGAGATGACAACTTCCTACACTTAAAACCTTTAGCAACTATACCTTTATGTTTACCAGCGATGGGTGTACTTGTCTAGGGGAAGGTGGATAGAGGCCACCTCCCCGGGTCGCTCCTAGTTCCACACTCCTCTTCCCGAGTCGCTCTGTCCTACACAGAAGCAGGCTGGGTATCCCTATGCCTTGAGCTTACTACGTTTACACGTAGGGGTTTAAGTTCAACAACTAATCTCTGTTGTACTGAACGACCCAGATTGGTTAAATTCTTTTAACTGAAGTTAATTACGCAAGCATCTAGGGAAGAGCTATTTCCAATTACAAAATGGCTATTTGACCTTTGAGAAATACCAATAATATGGAGCTTTGGTGACACTGGTGACCTAAGGTCGCCCAAATGATTCCGCGGCTGAGACTAGTCCCACTAGTGACGTCACTGATGGTGACTTACTCATTATCCTGACAATTAGGATCCTCTCGATACTATAAACAGTAATACTATAAAGTTTGAATGAAGACTAATTTCTCTAAATTACTGAATAATGTGGAATAATTCATTGTACGAAACTGTGATACAAAGGCGCCAATTATTTCAACCGGCAATCCCCCCAAGGGATGCTCCCGTGGTCTCAGGTCCCTACACGTGGTTCCAACTTCCCACTCTCCCATGCGTAGATAGAACAACCCCCTGCACAAGCAACTTAGTAAACCTTGTTAATTTTACCTCGAAAAGTAACGAGGTTTAGTATCCCAAATCCTCAATAAACTCAAACTCATGCCACAAACAAAAGCTAACCTAACTAAGAAAATTTGACAATCATCAGATTGTCCAACAACATCACAATAAACATGTTCAAATTCATCAATGTCTCGGCTGTCAACCGACAGCAATCCTCCAACATCAGGAAACATACATCCTACACTTACTGACATAGCTAAATAAAAATGTCCCTACTCTAACAGCAAAGACTAGCTATTAAAATCCCTTGACTCTTCACTAGCCAACCTCATGTGTCCCCTAGAGCCAGACACACCATGCTCAACATGAAACATAAAAATTTATATCTACAGACTGAACTTTCAGTCATCCGGGGGCGTACCACTGAATTCTACCAAGTTCACATCCGTGTACTATACACTCCCCAATCAATGTCAACCTTGACATGCTAAGGAACACACCTAGTTTTTATTACATGTATCTAAAATATATAAAAAGAAATTCCTACTATACTATATCACAGGTTTCAGCTGACTGTACAGCCAAGTGTTCGCACTCACTGTAAGAGTGTCAATGTTTATATTGGTCCGCCTCTCTTGTGTCCAAACGTTCTAAAAAAAATAGCACACAATATTTTCCATAACCGTTTATTCTGGGCCTAGACAATCACACAGGAGGCTTTGATTTTAATTACTGACCAATTTATAGAGTAGAATTTTCATATATCATTATACAGTACCAGAATAATTATTTTAAATCTGTTTTCCCACATTTATAAAGTATTGTGATTCTAAATCTGTTTTCAACATTTAAACAAAAGTGTCCAGATATTCTTTATACAGATGTTCAGAGCCAACTTTATCTTTTGTACCAAATGTTCATAATGAGTAATTAAAAAAAATTGATGCTGATGGATGCTGAATGTAGTCGCTGACGATGATGTTGTCGATCTTGCTTCTCCCATGCGCCGACGTCGATACCTGGTCCTCTTGTACTCCCATCCGGTACTCTTGAATGGCGACAGAGTGTAGTAGAGCGGAGTGCCAAGTGACAGCTGTAGAATACTATTACTTTGGCCATTGATCTGGCTCCCGACAGTCCACACGCCTTCATATTAATCACAGTTCACACGGCAGTCTTGATGTTAAATGTGACAGCGCAGATGACCACAGCAGAGGAGGACTGGATGTACCAACGGTGTCTCGTAACAGGAGTGGTGTCAGAGGGTCGTAGAGGCGGGTTGCTTGTTTGCAGAACAGGTGAATCCCGTCTTCCATCATTGCTCATGTCATTTCAGGCGTTTCTTGATGTCACCAGGTTACTAGGCCGTAAACACCAACTGTGTATACCCTTGTACCGCCGACTTTAAGCCAAAGGAGGCAATTTTGCGACCTTCTTTGGCAAATCCCGGAACTCTGTAGGGAGACCGTGCCTTCCACCTGTGACCGCCTTAGTTCCGCGTTCCTGTTGCTTCAGATGACGTAATCATTAATCTTCCGGCGAAACTCTTGAGCACTGTTACTTGCTTTCCATTTTCTTGACCTCTCCTCCAACACTGCTGGAATGGCTGCAGTCTTGATGACGCAGCAGGTGGGTAGTGGTGATAGCGAGACAGCTACCCCGGCGTTGTATGGCACCTCCGGTGACTGCTATATGTGGACAGCTCGCTCATCCGGCCGAGTGACTCTTGGACAGTCACTCATCCCCAAAGTAACTGATGTATGGGTTACTGGGTCTGGTGGGGGGAGGACTTTGTGTAACGTGCCTCCCCCCCTCGGTCTTTACAGACAAGGGTTCACGTGTGGCTGGAACAACTGGGTCGGTGTACCAGTCAGACCGGGAACAGACACACAACACAGCGGAAGCATAGATATACTCTGGGTTTGGTGGAGGTGGAACCCCAGGGCACGGTAAAAGCTGCTACCCGAGTTAAGTATAGTAATAGTTCACCTCATTGCCTCTACAGGAAAATCTAATGAATACTAAATTATACTAACCAAGGAAGTTACTTTACTGTATAGCGTGAGATCTCGTCACCATAGGGTGGCGAGACTGCACCTGACTACTGACGAGCGATGACAGAGGGTCATCCTCATCCCCTGACTCGTCGGTGAAGCCATGAGTCAGCACTGCTGAATCAGGAACTAGACCTGCTGAAGGCAGTTCTAATTCCTCTCTAGCATGATATTGTTTCAATTTATTTACATGAATTGTCCTTTCCACCTGGTCCTCGAATATTCCTTTTATAACAAAATTAACCGGCCCCGCCCTTTTAACTACTCTATACGGCCCTCGCCACCTCGGAGCTAGTTTCCTAATCTGATTGGTGGGCACAGCCTCATTCACTCTCAATACGAGGCTCCCTTCCTTCCTTCAACTCAAGAGGGCGCACTTTCTTGTCGTAAAAATGAGTATACCGATTCCGTGAAAAAAAAAGAAAGAAAAAGAAAGAAAGAAAAAACAAAGAAAGAAAGAAAAAAGAAAGAGAGAAAAAGAAAGAGAAAGAAAGAGAAAGAAAGAAAGAAAGAAAAAAAGAAAGAAAGAAAGAAAGAAAGAATGAAAGAAAGAAAGAGAGAGAAAGAAAGAAAAAAAGAGAAAGAAAGAAGGAAAGAGAGAGAAAGAAAGAAGGAAAGAGAGAGAAAGAAAGAAGGAAAGAGAGAAAGAAAGCGAGAAAGAGAGAAAGAAAGAAGGAAAGAGAGAAAGAAAGAAAGTATACATACATGGGAACAGCTATGTTTAACAGCCGGGTTGACCAGACCACAGTGTACTGACCCACACACCTGGTTCAATGCCAGGTAACACTGGTTACGTAGTTTTAAGCTTTTTTCTCGTGATTTAGTTCAATCGACACTCGATCTATACATATTAGGGATATCTGAATTTGTTTAATTCCCAAGTTTTGAGTGCATAATGGTGAGTTTTCCAGTGTTTGAATTGTTCTTATTGAGAAGAGTACAATTTTGGCTTTGCGTGAATTTTCTGAACATGCATTAAAAGGTAAATTCATTTGGATTCTAATGTATATTATTAATGTACAGTATAGCGTGTGTAGGTGGGTTGTCTGGAGATGAATCCTTGCCGTCTCTATGAATTATGGATATGGAGCGTCGGATATATCTATATACAACACTTTTATGATATTAGGATTCAGACCAATAGTTTATTGTGCTGCAGTATTTGAATACAAGATAAATAGGTATCACTTCACCCAAGTAGTGCAGTTTCCTGTAAGACTATTCCCTTATTTAGGGGATTGTTCAATACTCAACTGATTCTTCTATTTTGAAAAAGTATTGCACTTTGTGAGCTGCTTTACAATGGTGCATAGCATTACTATTAAGTACTGTAGTAATGTTCTTATTCTAAAAGTTTTAATTAACACTCATTTTTATTTTCAAAAAAGAGAGCATGGAGTAACGTGGTCACGTATCAAGTGCGAAGTGGAGCGTTTGGGTAGAAACAGTGACATAAACCTTGATTGCTACCTGAGGGAAGTATGGGAAGTGGCTCGACAGGTGAGGCTCTTGTTTTTAGCATTACTGATAATGTATATTGAACTCCTTAAGCCTTGTGCCTATAGCAAGCCCTTCAATGTCGCATTAATGCATAGATAGATGAGCTAGCAGAAAATCATAGCATGTAGTAGTTTTCATTATTTGTTACATTGGTTTGGTTTATGCTGCAATCAAATTAGTTACATTTTAAATCAATGTTTAAAATGAGTGTAATAAAATAAGTTTAGCAAGTCTGGCTGAATGATGTTCTATTGATATTGAAAATTTAAATAATAATATTTTATATTAGAACTCATTAACAATAATGTAATTTATTGATGTTAGGTTGCTCCAGAGCTTGATACAAGGGACGAAGCTGCAACACTGCTCTTTGTTCTCTCGCACGACCACAATGTCCTCACTATCAAGCAGCGCCTGAAGCTACGTCAAATGTTTGGAGACGTTAAACCACTTCTGCTTGACAGGGCTCACAAGGTCAGTATTTTGTTGTATCCTTTGCCACCTTGATATCACATGTTAGCTCATCTTTGTATCTATTACATTCAGTTATTCATTATCCCATTTCCTGCTTTCATGGAGAAGGGTGTGTCTATCATAGTACAGTACTCTTGCAGAATTCTAATGTGCAGAATGTCAAGTTGTTCTGATTGGCACTTACCTGTACAGTGCAAGCAGAAAGAATCTTGCTTTATGGAGCCTATAAGTGGACTAGCTCAAAAAATACAGTATATGAAAATAGAAGAGTTGGTGTATTACGCTCAAATGAATGAAAATTCATTCGAATTGGGAAAGGGAATGTAGATGAAAAAAAGGGAGTTTGATAATTTAGGGAATGTCTCTTGAGAAGGGGATGGGTTGTTTTGTTATGGCCAAGAGTGATAATGTGGGACATGGCATTGGTGAGCATTCACCAGGATGATGCAAATGGAATGTTAAATTATAATAATAATTCATTGTGTCGGGGGACAGTTAACCAGTTTGTATGTACAGTACATGTTAGGATTATATCGAGGTCCTCCCGAGGGATGAATTACTGACCCTTCCCAGGATGCATCCCTACAACAAGCTGACTGACATCTGGTACCTATCTACTGCTAGGTAAACAGTAGCTGCATTAGGTGATAGAAAATCCACCCAACCATTTCTGTCCTGCCCAAGATTTGAACCAGAAATTATCAATTGTGAGTCGAGAACAAATCCAACTGTATTACTGGGACTCCTTAACCCTTAAATTGCGCAACACATCATACGACATGGTGAGTAACTGCCACGGAATTGCACACCACATCATATGTGTAGGGGTACCGTGCAGGATTTAAAAGTCCGGCGGCTACACGGGGTTCACATCAGCTTCCTCAGGGCTCTTGTAAACAGATGCCATTAAAAAAAAATTGTGGGCAACATTTCTGGGTGTGAGAGCCTCAGTTACTGAGTGAGCAACCAAGGCTGGTACACACAGCATGAGCTAACAGCACTGCTGTTCAGCTTGTGACCACAGCATCGCCTAAAAATGTCCAAATATTTATGTAACTGGTATTATTAGTGATGATAGTATTACAGAAGACCCCTGACCGTGATAAAAATGACCAGGATTCTGATAATAGCAGGATTGTTGTGATAATTAGCACTGTGCTGTATGGTGGGAGGAGTATTGCTGAGGGAGGGAGAGAGATAGCGTCGTCTGCTTACTCTGTGTGGTCACCTGTTACTGTCTGCACTCACCATAACAGCTCAGTGGTTCTCTATGGTGAGCACAAATGTAGATACTTATATATAACGTGTATATTAGTGTAATAACAGCAAAAGGATTATGTTGGGAGGAGCCATTTGGGTGACGGAGATGGCGTCGTCTACATGACTTGTTTAGCTGTGTAGAGGGTGGCCACTATGCTCTTTGGGAACCATACCAGCTTAGTTGTGCAGTTATGGTGAATAAAACATGTAGATACTTATATATAATGTGTGTATATAGTGTAATAACACCACAAACAGTATTGTTGGTGGAGGAATGTTAGTGCATCTGGCCTTGAACCAGTGAGGGAGGCAGCCGCCAGCTGACTGTGTGTAGCGACCTCTCTTATTGTCTGAACTCACCATACCAGCTTAGTTGTACAGTTATGGTGAACAAAACATGTAGATACTTATATATAACATCTGTATATAGTGAATAAAAGCAAAAACAGTATGGTGGGAGGAGGAATGTAGGTGATTGAGGTGTTGTTGAGGGAAGGAGTGGTGGCGAGTGGCTGGCTGGTGTGTGGTGGCCACTCCTTGTTGCTTTTTGCCTCACCATACCAACTTAGTGGTTCGTTATGGTGAACAAAACATGCAGATACTTATATATAACCTGTGTATATAGTGTAATAACAGCAAAACTATTTGTTTATTGTTTTATGAACATAATTGAATCACTAATATGCACACCATAATTTTGAGTATAGCGATGGTTCACACATTTTATTATATAAATATATCACACTACACACTATTGAATAATATTACTGCAAAAAAAATAAGAACAAATCAATCAGAGACATTGAAATAATTAGGTAATAATATCTTTGTGGCAACTCCCGCCTGACAGCTCGGGCGGAACAGACCTCTCTCTCCGACGCTTGCTCTGTCAACGCCTCTTTCCTGGTCCCCTCAGAGAGGTGCAAGGAGCAATGGCCCACAGAATTGCACATGTGATTTGGAGCATTATGTCTGCCACTGACCGGGTCAAGCACCCAGAAAGGTAAGCATCCCAATACAAACCCTTATTCTGGTTGAAACTGCAGTATAACCTCGATTCAGCGTACCCCGATTCAACGAATCTCTGGCTAGTTCGCACACTTATCAGGCCGGATTTACTCACCCGGTTCGACAAACAATGGTTCGCCGAAGTGGGGGATGTTCAGATTTGCTTACGACGTCGAGACAGAGTTCACAAACTGGTGGAAAACTTTCCCATTCTATCACAGATTACAGTGATTAATTCCTTCATATGACAAGTTCGATCACGGAAGTGGACCACACAAGTGGACCACACAAGTGGTCCACAAGTGGTTCACAAGCTTACGATGTTGGGACAGAGTTCACAGTGGTAGAAAACTTTACCATACCATCACAGATTACAATTAATAATTCCTTCATATGACAAATTGGACCACACAAGTGGACCACACAAGTTGGACCACACAAGTGGTCCACAAGCTTACGATGTTGGGACAGAGTTCACAGAGTGGTGGAAAACTCTCATTCTATCGCAGATTACTATTAATAATTCTTTCATAAGATAAGTTTGATCACACAAGTGGACCACACAACAAGTGAACCAAACACCAGCCAAAATGGTCCATACAAGAAATGCTGCATATTAACCAAACACCAGCCAGAGTCATCCACACAAGTGAATGACTGAGTTTCAATGATTTTCGTTCACCGATTTGTGGCACACGTATCTTTGTAAATTAATTTATAGGCTGAAGCGTGAATAGCTAGCTAATGTGTTGAAATCTTCTTATATACATTTTCTGTGATGAAACAAGATGAGTGAGGGTGGACAGATAAGAGAATACTGTACAGTACTGTACTGTTCACTCACTTTCGTCTGTGTCGTCATAGTTCAGTGACCCATGACTTTGAACGTTTCACATTAATAAATCATTTCTAAAACTGGGGTTTTAATAACTCTTTATTATCCTAATTAAACTAAATAAAACCAAAAATATACTGTAATATGATAGATATCTGCTATTTGAGAAATTATTCACGTTATTGGCGGCACAACTCCAGCACGAGTGGACAGGTCTAATCCATGTCCACACAACACCATGCTTGTTGTGTTCGATTTCGTCACAACAGTTCAGTGATCTACGGCTTCAAAATAATAAAATTAATAAATCAGTTCCAAAGTAAGTATTTTTTATAGCTCTTATTACCGTAATAATGTTGCTAAACTAAATATGTAACCCAAAATATATAATTTGATGTAAATCGAATATTTGAGAGAAATTTGTTACTGGAAATCAAATACAACACCAGGTGTGTTTTGTTCGATTTCGTCGCCACAGTTCAGTGACCTACGGCTTCGAAATAATAAAATCAATAAATCGGTTCCAAAATAAGTATTTTTTATAGCTTTTATTATCATAATAATAAGAGCTATCGCAGCTTTGTCTGCGATTGACATACGGTATTTATCCGCCGGTGGAAGAATAATTGTGGAATTGACCATTTTTTTACTACAGATCTTTGGTTATAAAAAAAAGGTCTCAGGGGCTTAGTAATAGTGCCTTATTAAGATAAAAAATGAAGCAATATTTTGCAAAAACTAGTAGCAGAAAATCAACCAGCACGAGCACAGCTGTACCCAGCACGAGAACAGCCGTACCCAGCACGAGCACAGCCGTACCCAGCACGAGCACAGCCGTACCCATGCAGGTATGCAGGTAAAGGATAATATTCAGAGGTTGAAAATGGGAAATAGATTCACGGAAGATGAAAAGGAAATGTGTGAAACACTAAACGAAAAGTTCCAAAGTGTGTTTGTACAAAATGAAATCTTTAGGGAACCAGATACAATAAGAATTCCAGAGAACAACATAGAACACATAGAGGTGTCTAGAGACGAAGTGGAAAAAATGCTCAAGGAGCTCGGTAAGAACAAAGCAGCTGGCCCAGATGGCGTTTCACCATGGGTTCTGAGAGAATGTGCATCTGAGCTCAGCATTCCACTTCACCTGATCTTTCAGGCATCCCTGTGTACAGGAATCGTAGCAGACGGGTGGAAACAGGCTAACATAGTTCCAATCTACAAAAGTGGCAGCAGGGAAGACCCCCTCAATTATAGACCTGTATCATTGACAAGTGTAATAGTGAAAGTATTGGAAAAACTAATCAAAACTAAATGGGTAGAACACCTAGAGAGAAATGATATAATATCAGACAGACAGTATGGTTTTCGATCTGGAAGATCCTGTGTATCGAATTTACTCAGTTTCTATGATCGAGCCACAGAGATATTACAGGAAAGAGATGGTTGGGTTGACTGCATCTATCTGGACCTAAAAAAGGCTTTCGACAGAGTTCCACATAAGAGGTTGTTCTGGAAACTGGAAAATATTGGAGGGGTGACAGGTAAGCTTCTATCATGGATGAAAAATTTTCTGACTGATAGAAAAATGAGGGCAGTAATCAGAGGCAATGTATCAGAATGGAGAAATGTCACAAGTGGAGTACCACAGGGTTCAGTTCTTGCACCAGTGATGTTTATTGTGTACATAAATGATCTACCAGTTGGTATACAGAATTATATGAACATGTTTGCTGATGATGCTAAGATAATAGGAAGGATAAGAAATTTAGATGACTGTCATGCCCTTCAAAAAGACCTGGACAAAATAAGTATATGGAGCACCACTTGGCAAATGGAATTTAATGTTAATAAATGTCATGTTATGGAATGTGGAATAGGAGAACATAGACCCCAC